TGGTAGAATCGGTGGCCGGCCGGTGTCCCTTTGTGATCTCCTCCAACAACAGCTGCGACCTGGCTTGGATGAAGCTAGGGAAGGGATGCTGCATAGGAAGAAGAAATTGCATGACCATATTTAGTGCTAAGGCCATTGATGAGCATGCGGTCGGACTGCGGTTCGCCGAGGTCAGCGAGGTTGTCCGCCATAGTATTGAGCCGACGACAATACTCGAAAATGGAGATATCGCCTTGCGTGAATCCATGGAACTCGGTGGAGAGGTTGATGGCACGAAGCTCACAATTTTCAAGAATTTGGAACTCCAAATCATGCCAAATGGAGCGGGTGGTGGCAGTGGGCGACATCACCTCCTGAAGCAGGTCGTGGGAGATGGTGCGCCAGCCGAGGACGACACAGTCCATCTGTGCCCAATCGGCATGATTAGGAAGAGGAGCGTCATACAAGACGTGGTCCGTCAAGGCATATTTGCCAAGAACCACGAGGAAGAGACCGCGGCAGCGTGCATAGTTACCGGTGGCGAGGTCCAATGTCACGGGGATGAGGGCCTTGACATTGAGCATGGCAACCGCTTGAGCGTGGAGGGCGGCATGGGTGTCGGCATCCAGAGGAGGTGCCGAAGCCGGGGCGCGGCGCCAGAAGGTGGGGGTGCGGCGGGTGCACCAGACGCGCCGGAGGCCGGGATGGCGAGCTAGGCAAAAAGCGCCAGTAGTTTTGGTGGCAAGGCACCGCAGGGCGTGGTCGGGAGCGGCGGTGTGGACCACGACGACGAGTGGATCTCCTCGGCAGGAGAAGCAGAGGCTGGCCGCGGGAGGTGCTTAACGAGGGCATCGCAGACGGCGAAGGATGCCTTAGTGGCCACTGATTCGGCAACTGACTGCGTCGAGGAGTCGTCGATCTGAAGACCCAGCGACGGTTGATAGTTGGCACGCACAGCATCGGCGACGATGTTCGCGATGGTAGTGATGAGGTCGTAGTGCGAGGAAGAAGACGACGTCGACATGGCGACGAGGCGCTGCGCACAGAGAGGAGAGGGTTTAGGGTAGAGAGCGGAAGCGGTAGAACAAGGAATTTGATACCATGAGAGTGCGATAGACTCGCAATTGATTGGATTGATATCGGTGCGGAGTACATATAGGCGCGAGGCTTTCGTTATCCACTTAACTGGATTATAGAAACAAAACATGTACAAGATAATATTTTTCTAACAATATGTACCCTATGACCCAGCAACATGACTCGGAGTTCATCTGGTAGCGTGCTATTCATCACGGTAAGAAAGCAATGTATGATATAGCTAGTTACTCCGTGGGAATTGGTATATTTTCCTAAAAAAAAGGTGATCAAATCAAATCAGCATCGGTCAAACCATTTTGTGATATCTCACTTTCATACATGCTCGTTGGTGTTTGGGACATATAACTGTTTTGGAATCAATGCCGTTTGCCCTTAATCTGTTTTTCTATGATATATGTTTTATGTCTGCAGGACACTATCCCCACTACTGGGGAAAGCCTCTTTGCTAATGGTTTGCAACCCTTTTAGTCCCGGGTTGCAAACCAGGACCCCGAATCCGGAATTAAAGATAAATATCTTTAGTTCCGGTTGAAATAATCAGGACTAAAGATACACTAAAGTTTTTTTTTCTTTAGTTGTTATCAACCGGGACTAAAGACGCTACCATCTTTAGTCCATCTTTAGTCTGGACAAAAGTTTTTTTTCTTTTTTTTAGTATTTTTTGCTTGCTTGCATGTTGATTTCCCCAAATCAAAGATTCACAGATAATATCACAGGTTCACATCACAGATCAAATACATCATAAATTCTCAAAAATAAATATATTACAAACCACATATTCACATACCATCATCCATTCATCCAAGAACACATTAATCATCAACATCACCCATGAGATCTCATCCACGAACACAATCATGAAATCAAAATCACAAATTATGTACACAATCGCCTCATGAACAAAATCACAAATCCATGAGTAGCAACATCTGCTCCGCCATCACCACGACCGCCTGCCCCTTCGCCTCATCCTCTTCGCCACTCCTCTTGTTCCGAGCCGCCGCGGCCCGGATCCAGCCGGATTCGCCCGCGGCCGCTGCTGGAGATGCCGCCACCAAATCCGCTGCAGGAGGGAGCGAGGGGGAGAGGAGGGGGAGAGGAGGAGGGGGCGAGCGTTGCCGGTGAGGGAGGCGGGGGGAGAGGATGAGGGGGCGGAGGGAGCCGCCACCGGCGACGGAGGCGAAGGGAGCAGAGGGAGAGGAGGGGGCTAGGGAGGCGAGAGGGGAGAGGAGGAGGGGGCAAAGGGAGCTGCCTACGAGGGTGAGGAGATATGGCGGAGGGAGGGGACGGGCGAGAGCGAGAGAGAGGGAGGGAGTTTCACGTGTGCGCCTGAGGAGATAAGGACTAGGGAGGGGTAACATGCGGCTGCATTTTTCTTTTCAATCTTTCGTCCTGGTTGGTATAAACAAACCGGGACTAAAGTGTTAATCTTTAGTCTTGGTTGCTAGCACCAACCAGGACTAAAGATAATGGGCCCTGACACGGCCTGACGACTTTTTAAACCGGTACTAAAAATGATCCTTAGTCCTAGTTCCTATTTGAAAGTTTTTGCACCACCTAGCAAAGATTAGTTTTCCAGTAGTGTCCTGTCAAAAGTTCACTAGATAGAACCTCCCTGATGTTATGTGAACCTTTTCGTTGGTTTTTCAAAAGCCTTATACCATGATATTCTGATAAATGAAATGAGCAAAGGACCATGAGCCACACGTTGAAACTTGAAGTTGAACAGTTCATAAGGATAAAAAAGCAAGTGTAATACATATTTACGCACAGGAACACTTCGTAATATTAAAAGAGTACCTAGTGTTAAAATAACACAGTACAAAATGTAAATTCAACATATATAAATGGTATTAGTCACTTCTCAGGTACATATATTCAGGTAAAATATATGTACCTGATAAATTCAACATATATAAATGGTATTAGTCACTCGTATTTAATATTCGGATTTTACAGTTAATATATACCCGCCAAGGATAAAAATTATTAAAGAGAGTACCAGACAAGAGGTAGTTGTGTGGTTCTATTTGACATTCAGTGTATTATTCGAGAATTGGTTTGGAAAGCCTTGCTAGTAATGCACTCAAATCGACATTGAGATTGGGACATAGCCACCCAACGATTAGACCGACCGAGGGATTGGAAGATCTGGAACTTTCCTTTGGCCAACTACAAGCAGTTGATCAATTTCACCATTTCTTTCATTCCCTTTTCTTTTTTTCTTGAGTTTATGCACGAGTTGATGCCATTGCTTTATTTAAAATCAGAAGCACCAATCATGCATGTAGGTATACTGTTAGAGTGGTGGACTAGCAGAGATTTATTAGGCATGGCTCGTATGTATTTCTCCTAAATTATAAGATCTTGTCCGGTTAGTCAAACAAGGCCTAAGATGGAAAAATCACCAACTTCTATATGGAAGTGTTCAGAGACGAGAACACTAATCGGAGCCATCCTTTCGCTCATTCGCGGAATAAGCGAAACGACATATTTATAAACGAAAAGCAATTTGTGAATAAAACTTTTATATACATGTTCTTAGCGATCTAAAAACAAAAACATAAGCATTTAAGATTGAAATTTAAGATTGAAAATTTAAGATTGAAAATTTAAATTTTAGCTAATAAGCATAAGCAGCGAAAAGATGAGCCCCATAGCACTGACTGCGTCGACGTTTCCCATGCGCATGGCTCGTTGGCCAAGAATTGCTTGTGGAATTTGTGCTGCCAAAAACAAAAGATGACAATGTCATCTTGTGGGGAGAAAAACTTGAGGAAATTACGTGCCGAAAGCGTTCCTGGTGCTTCGCATTCCCATCAAAATAGCTCGTAAAATGGAATTTTGTGTTTGTTTTTTATTAATTGGGCTATAAACTCTATGGCTGAATAGAAATGATATGGTTTTTGACAAATCACCATCAAAGTCTTATGTGGAGATATTTTTCAGGGCAACGCATTGGCACCAGCCATGTTGGGCTCCACTAGTCCACTACAATGGTGTAATGACAATATAAAGCTAATAAATGATGGATGCCGTAAGGTTAAGTCAATGGTCATGCAGATTTTCTCCAATTTTGGGTGGAGATTCACAAATAGGATTCAACGGTTGTGGGATACAAAATCATAAAAAATATGATGTGAATGATTTACAATGGGGATAATTTTATTTTAATATTTGAGGTTTAAAGTTCTTTTTAATTCCCGTTGCAACGCACAAGCATTCAGCTATTCAAATAAAATCAATAGAGATCAACCACTGCACAGTTATGCGTGTTTTCTTATTATAAACATTTCTATTAATCTTTCAATATATAGAACCTAGACATGAGGGATGGATTTCGTTGCGCTTAAAAAAATAAAAAATCTGTCAAATTATACCACTTCTTGCACACCGCAGAGCAATTCTCTGGCTTCTATGGCTAGAGTTAGACTCTCTGTTTGGATTGATTATTGGGACAGTGAAATTGACCATTTGATTGTACTCCAAACCTAACTTATTGTTTACTTTAAGAGAAAGAACGGCGTTTTATCCTTTTCCATGTCATCACTCAGGAGACCACATGATGTGATCGCAGCATGTTAGATAGGATGACTGGATGAGTTGGTTACTAAAAGCAAATGCCTCACTAATTAAAGAGTCATCTTTCCACTACTATGCTGCCAACATGATTTGGTCCATAGGCAGGCATAGTACGAATCTTTCACCTTTTGAAAGTGGGGAGAGTCCTGGTGCCTTTTGATAATCAGTATCAATGGTTGGATCAAAGATGGACGTAGGAGATTCATCTTTTCAGAGATAAACTTTCAGCTTTCGATCTGATCCATCGGTTCCTTAGGTCTAGCGGCTGAGATGATGGAGCAGTGGCAAGTTGCTGAACCAATATTGGTACCATTGCACATATTAGTAAGGCGAAGACTTGACCACATTGTAGCATCATCCTTTTTGGGTCCTTAGCTCAGAAGCAAGGATAGCTTTCCATGATTCCATCACTCATTAATAGCTAGGTACAAGGAGAAGATGGCAAACTAGAGGGATCAGGAGTAGCACCAGATCACATAGAAGGTGAGGTTCCATGGGGAACATCCTCAAGTGCTTCATCAGTTGCTTCGACGGAGAAGACGAAGATGGTGGTAGTGGCCATGGTCGCTTCCCCAACAGCTATCCTCCGGTCTCAAGTCTCCATTACCAGCCTCTGCATTTGGATGACCTTCAAGTGCCATTATCGCCTCCACCACCATCAACTAGGCAGCAGCAGCCGCCACCGCGACCGGCGCTCTCAAGACTCCATTACCAGCCTCTACGTTTGGCTGACCTTCAAGTGCCATTATCACCTCCACCACCATCAACTAGGCAGCAGCAGCTGCCACCGCGACCGGCACGTCCTCTTGGTTACCATCATGGAGTCCTCTGGCCGACGATAGAGATCACCCCATGCGATGACTTCCTCAACTTAGAATTCACAACTAAGGTAATTTAATTATAACTCGTTATAACATAAATGTTTATCAATATACACTACGGTTTGGCACCTAAGAACTCTGATACTTCAAATTTTGAGAAACCTATAGTAAAACAACCTAACATGTGGCCCATTACACATACAAATTTTCGCTGTACCAACTGAACTAATTAACCATGTGTTGCTAATTACAGGGTTGTCACCCGATGACTTTGGAGTGCATAGTTTTATTTAGCAAGTCATAAAGTTTGACACATAAATTTTTATTTATAACTAAAAATTATATTCCTCAAAATAAATAGCTATCGTAGTATTCTAAACCAATATACTAGTGGAATTTTCATTTTATTTAATTACTATTGAACGACTAAAAGGTTTTCATAGTAATGCAGTAAAAGAAGCTTTAAATTGCCACTTTTACCTGTGCATAAAAGGAATAAAACGATTGTGTTGAACCTACTGGTGAAGTCATAGGCAGTGTTTGGCAAATGTCTAATGGAAATTATTTCCCACCCATCTTTAAATCCTAACCATTCATTCTCCCCTATCCATTTAATCCTAACCCTTCATTCATTTCCCAATCCCAATCCCACCCCTCATTTCCCATTATCCAAACACACCCATACAGTATACGTCACTTCAGCCTTTTAAAAGTTTTGCCCTTTTTATTCCATACCTTTGAGAATTTTCTTCTCCCCCTTTGTGAACCTTATCTTCTTATTTTTTTTCTTTTCTTTTGGGATATATTTGGTTAGGGTATCCACAATGTGACCAAAAAGTAGTCCTTATAACTCTATATGGGTACCTTTACCATTGTGAGAGGTGGCATTAGGAATAGCCATATGATAAGCTACCCATAGCTATAAAGACCACCTGTATAGATTAAAATATACTATCTCTCTCCTTTTGCTTCTTTCATGTGAGAGAACTATAGCATTTGGAAGTACTTTTTTTAGTGTGGGTCCCATCTTAATGTCAATTGCTATCTATACACATTGTGAAAATAGGAATAACAAAAGACCATTTATGTGGGTCCCACCTATATGGACTAGTTGATCCATATACATTGTTGATGCCCTGGTTGAAGATGGTACGGAAGGGGCTGTACTTTTTTCTTCTTTTCATATTTTCTTCTTTTCATAATTTTTCATACTTTTTTCTTCTTTGTACTATGTGCCGGTACCTATGTGTCGGTACCTTCATAGAAGGAAGATATCGGAAGATAATATCATAAATTATATTACCTTTTGGCAATCTTTTCAAATGCATATTTTCGCAAGATAGGGTATTTCCAGCCCTTAATTACTCAGGGAAGAAATTGTGAAAACAACATAGCTCTTTGTTTGCATAGTGGTAAAACATGCCCCAAAGATATGTGATATCTATATGTTCAACAAATATCAAATGCACATCCCACTGTCATTAAGATACATGTTGGACAATAACAGAGGATACATGAGTGGTGAGTATCAGACCAATTAATGTTAAATTTCAGAACATATGAACAAAGTGTATCAAGAATTGCCTAAGGCCGTGTTTTTTTGCTTATTCACCGGACTATTTTTTTAATGTTTCAAAAATACGTTTTTTTCTAAAAACATTTTTCTTCTATATTATTTATACCAATTATTTAAGCTATATGGTAAATTTACTTTTAAAAATATTTAATTTATCACTATCAAGCACATAATGCGCAGCAATAATCCACTTAATAGACCAACTCAATTTGGGCTTAAGTAATTAACAGATCATCTAGTAAAAGAAATTATGAGGTACGACTTTTTTATGTTGTTGAAGATACTTCATTTTAAATATGATACTGTTGATTTTTGGACACAGCGTTTATTAAAAAACTATTCTCTCTGTTTCATATTATAAGTCCTTTTAACTTTTTTCAAAGTCATTTATAGAGAAACGTAACAATATTTTCGACACAAAATAAACATACTATTATAATATAATCAATATTAGATTTAATGAAACTATTTTGATGTTGTAAATGCTACTATATCTATCAATTTCATCAAACTTAGTGTAGTTTGACTTAGAAAAAGTCAAAACGGCTTGTAATATGAAACAAAGGCAGAATGTAAATATTGTAGTTACTTTATTTACCATTAAAGGTATTATAACAATAACTTTGCATATTTGCACTAAAATTATGAATAAGGTGGCTGACATATCCAAATGTAATCATCGTCATGTATTGAGAAATAGAGGGAGTAAAACTTTATCCATAACTTCTTATTATAACTTTTTGTTATAAAAGTTAGAACTACTATAGCACACCCAGTACATTATATACCTTATACAACAGACCAGAACAAAGTGAGAGTGATATATTTACTTGATATGTGTATTCATGTACTGGGTACGTAAATTAATCTGCTAGTAGGGCGTGTGATACGTTATACCATGCCCACTGCTTGTGTTTTAGAAGGACCTTTATGAAAATTTATATAATCTAATAGATTTATGATATTATGAAAGTATTTTTCATGACAAATTATACATTCCAATTTTAATCTTTTCAAACTATGTAATTTATTATTTATTTATAGTACCTTTTTTAAAAAATTAAAAAAAAGTCAAATGCAACATTCTTGACCAGACAGCGTATTTGTTCTAACAAAGGGCATCGATAAGAAATCAATCCCAAACACATATACTCAGTCTCCAATTTGACTGAGTTCAACCATTTCTTCCATATCAAGTATAAAGTTGATTGATCTACCCACACATACAAAAGAATTGCCAAAAAAACACATAAAATTAGGTATCTGTTCAACTATTCAATGACAGCATGCACACAAGCGCACATGCCCCGCGAGTTGGTTACTTTCTCTTGAATTGCAGTAAGTTTAAATAATACAAACACTAAATTATTGAGTATAAAATCTCTATCTTGGGGCATTTGTAACACAATTCTAGGTTTTATAATTTGGTTGATGGAAGCCCAGTTTCATTTCAAAACAAGATTACTTTTTGTCTATGTGATATCTTTGCCTATAGTATTTCTATATAGCATATACTTATAGAAAATATTGGCAGGTTTGTGAAGGGCCCCAGCATCACAGTACACCATCCAGGAAGACGGACCTTAATAGGTAGGCATCAGATCCTAACATCTTTTTTTGTTTGATTATTTTTTCAAAAGCTGAAACATTGGTGACACATACATATATAGTAATACGTATCTGAGTTGTTTTCTAATTGTTTGAGAAACAAGCCATCCAACAATATTTGTTTTGTAGATCTAAGGCCCTATTCTAACTTCATAAATATACATATTTTTCCTCGTTTTCCGTTAGCCCGTTTTTCAAACTGCTAAATAACATATTATATGCGAAAACTTTCTATACAGAAATTGCTTTAAAATATTGGATAAATCCATTATCAAGTTTGTAATAATTATTAAAACTTAATTAATCGCGCGTTAATAGTTTTCTCATTTTGTGTACCGCTTTTAAGTATATCTCACCAAGCTACATAGCCGATGAGGCAGCCTTTCAGTGGTGGTTGTTGCCCCTCTCTTTTTTTTTTGACGTGAAACAGCAGGAGGAGAGGCTCCTACTGCGCTCTATATATATATATATATATATATATATGACACTCATATGGGGCACCATGGTGCCCGGGCACCATGGTATCTAATGTACAAAATCACTCAAATTTTTCAAAATTTTCAAATTGTGAGTATATACCTAGTTATAATAATTCAATTCATATCTATACCTATCAACAAAACAACTCAAATTTAACTTTATTTCACAATCCATGATTACATACCTAACTAATTATATGTATGGATGCTATATATCTAGAATCAAAATCTAACAAAAACAAGTTCAAATTCAGTACAAACATGCTTTGAACTAGTTAGTAAAGTAGTTAATGTTAATACCTAAGTAATTGAAAAAGTTTCATACTCATTTGAATTGGGTATATACTCAATTTCAACAATGGTGCCCGGGCACCATGGAGCACCAAACAAATTTACTATATATATATATATATATATATATATATATATATATATATATATATATATATATATATATATATATATATATATATATATATATATATATATATATATATATATATATATATATATATATATATATATATATATATATATATATATATATATATATATATATATATATATATATATATATATATATATATATATATATATATATATATATATATATATATATATATATATATATATATATATATATATATATATATATATATATATATATATATATATATATATATATATATATATATATATATATATATATATATATATATATATATATATATATATATATATATATATATATATATATATATATATATATATATATATATATATATATATATATATATATATATTAATTACAAAGAGAGGAAGATCAGGAAAAAAAAGATTAAAAAATGCTATCTATCCATGATTGCCAAACTGGTTTATCTACTAACTTTGCCTTGTGCATATGCATAATTGTACATGCATTTTTTTATTCTCTGTTTACAGTATATAATCATTTGGATCAACATTTCGTTTTATTTTTAAAAAAGTATTGAGCAATAAAATCCATTGATGCCTGGGCCATAAATGGATGATTTTCTCATGATTTGTACTATGTATACATGCACCCTTAGGTGTATCCATGAAAAAGACGATGGCAACAGTAAACCCTCCTACTACTGGCTGACCAAGAACAAAGACAATCATGTAGTAACCCCTCAGACCAAACGGTCACCTCGGCCCCCTAGTGGGGTAGCTGCCCTGGAGCGTGACCTCGTCGACTTTACTCGGACCTTTGAGGTAACTCGCTACACCTATAAAGTATCCCTATATATAAAGTTGAGTGAAGTGCATGAGCGGTCCCTAAACTTGTGCGGACGTGTCATCTAGGTCCCTAAACTCCCAAAATGTATTTTCGGGTCCCCGAACTTGTCTTGAGGTGTCATCTAGGTCCAAACGACCTCTAACCCGCTCCATGCGCTGATGTGGCATGCCACATAGCACCTACGTGTTAGTCGGACCCACGCGTCAATCACATAGAAAAAATAAAATTAAAAAAAAAACATATTTTCTCTTCTCTACCTTAGAATTTTTTTTAATCTTTTTTTGTTTACCTAAGAGGAGAAAATATGGTTTTTAATTTTATTTTTTATATATGCTTGACATATAGATTTCACTGACATGTAGGTGCCACCGTGGCAATGCCACGTCAGCGTATGGAGCGGGTTTGAACCCGTTAGGACCTATATGACACACATGACAAGTTTAGGGACCTAAAAATGCATTTTAGGAGTTCAGGGACCTAGATGACACACCTGCACAAGTTTAGGGACCGCCCACGTACTTCACTCAATAAAGTTCTATGCATCATACATGAGAACCACTTGATTTGAAATGTATTTACTGACAAAGCCGAGTAAGCAGGGAGGATGCTTATCCTCAGGTACATGAGTAAATAACCAAAATACAGTTTGTATGCTTGTCTTTGTGATAATTAATGTGATAGTTCCATTGCTATATGTGAAGTATTTCTTTTGTTATTAAAGTTTGCATGCATGTCTTGCAGCAATATATTTACCTTCCTGTTAGCAGTTTTGCCTTCTACATTCCTGTATTGCAGAAGAATATTATGTTTTTGATTATTCTTAAGGGGATTTTCATTTGTGGTATTTAGGTTCCTGAAGGGCTTGCACAGCATGTTACATCACCTATGCAGGCACAGGTTACATGGTTAGGAGAAGATCCAGATTTAACAGCTTCTGAACTTAATTTTCCATTAACCATTACATTTTGTATACATAAGTCAATAATTCTAAAGCTGCATTGAGTCCTATAGTTCAATATAGAAATCCAGTTAGCCACCCAAAGCTGATACTCTCTTCGATTGCTATCAGGTATAATACCCTCTTTATAATATCCAATGATTTTTAGCAATGGAACTATCACAATTAACACTGCTGTATACATGTATTTTAATGAGCACATACACAGTTTTTTGAAACAAATTTGTACTTTATTTTTTTGGTATAAATCTATATAGCTTATAAATAATGAATTTATATCCTGTAGGCCTCGTGATCATCTGTAAGACATATTACCCAAGCCACTGTATCCTAAACGTAGAGGTTTAAAAATTAATAATTTTCATTGTTTTTTTTAACTCGGAACAATATGCTTTAGTTCTATTCTTTGCGAAGAACAATATTCTTAGTCAAGGGCCATTCAGCTAAAATTTTTGTTTCTCTAACTAAATTAAGATAATAGTTTTGCACTTTTACTTTTGATAGGTATAGGAAATTGTTGGCCGCATACAAGGATATAAAATATCCACCCAAAGAATCAGCAGATGCTGCTGTGCTTGTTGCTGCAACCTTGAGAGGGATCGAACGAACTAATTTGGAGGTAATTATTTGAAGGTATTAGGATAGTCACAAAATTTATCTACATATATATGAAGCAAGTAAAGAAATATTATTCAAATGCTAGTTTCTCTATTTCTTAGCAACTGAAGTACTCAATCTATCCCAGAATAGTTTTTTACATGGTCTCTAACATAGAACTTTTTCCTTTTAATTTATTTTCCATAAGATATTATGAATGCTCTTTTAAATACGAATCTAATAATATCACATGCATGGCACAAAACATTGTTAGTTATTTTACTTATTAGTCAAGGGAAAATGTTGATTTTCCTAAATTATATTCTGAAAAAATGTCTCAATTGTTGGTGATATAGTACATGCAGATACAACAAAATTTCATAAGGACGTTAGATTGTTCGCATTTCCTGGGACATGAAAAAATCGTATGGATCTTATTTCAAAAAAAATTGTATGGAGAGGCTATACGCTATAATATTGTGCACATTTAACAAAAAGATTGTTGGTAGATAAAAAATCTATTTTCCCTAGAAGTGTAAGAGAATGTCTAGGTTTACCATTAGGGCAGTATTGTTAGTTAAATTAAAATCATTCTTTTTGTATCAACTCAAAATTATAACATTGGATAATACTATCAACTCAGAGAATAATCTGTTAATTGTTGATGATTTTCTCCAAATCTGGACTGCTAAAGAAATTATAAAACCAGTTACCATTGTTTTATTTTTGTCTGGTAACTGTTTTACTTTTCAGATTAACACTACAACAAGGCAATGTGGACATATGTTTAATATATTCAGTCTCCTAAACTCAGGAAGAAATTAATATTTTTTTATATTGTCTGTTATTAGAAATGAGCATCATTTTGGAACGTTCAGGTAAAATGTTATCCAGGATTGTTTTACAAATTGTCCTCAAGGAAAAGTTTGGACTATTTTGGTTTGAAGCCCTACAAAAAATTTTGTAATGCCAAAATTTAGGCATGTTTTGGCACTACCAATTTTTTTAGTTAAAATTGTCTAGTTAATGTTCCATTTGCTACCAATATGATGAGAATAAATTTCTAGAATGTGACCGAATAGAGCATGGCCAACAACAATTATTTCACTTCATTCCAAGCTATCCCTATTACTATTCAAGTTGCCAAAAGATTGGTAGAGCATATATTGGCATCAATCCAAAACGGTCCTTTGTAAACATTATTATGTGTATCGTCAATGCAAATGAGCAAATCTGCAGAAATTCTTAGAACATCAGGTGTTCATACTTTGTAATATTAAATGATAGTTGTGAACTAAGGCTGTGTTTAGTTCACATCAAAATTAGAAGTTTGGTTGAAATTGAAACGATGTGACGGAAAAGTTGGAAGTTTGTGTGTGTAGGAAAGTTTTGATGTGATGGAAAAGTTGGAAGTTTGAAGAATTATTTTGAAACTAAACATGACGCAAATAAATTGTAGCAAAATCCTTAATCATCCAGGATATTCTTTGGATTCTATTTAATGTAAGTTGGCATAATAGTTCAACAAATCGATTCTATCACCATGGAAAAAAATGTGTGTTTGGTTCACAGGGCATTCTTGCATTTTATGGCTTTCCAATTCCTACAATCTCCAAAGAGGCATCAGAAAATCATCCATCATCAATACCAAAGGGTGTGCTGTTCGTGCTAAAAACATTGCCGGTCAGATTTCACATGATATATCACCAGTATTGAGTAAAATAATGATTCTCACAAATCTAAACATTTATATCAGGTTAATGCAAAGTGCATAGTAGATGGTGATGGCTTTACTGCTTATGTCGACACACTGGATCCTATAGAACTGCGTCAGGATTGCAATGCAAGCTGTCAATCCCGTAACTCTAAGAAGCAAAAATTGTGGGACAAAACAGCAGCTGATCTACAAATAAGTCTCGAAAATACTGGACAAAAGTAAGTAAACTGAACTTTCCCTCTTCTCCATGTTGTTTGGAAGTCAATAGTTTCTTGTGAAACAGTACATGTCATTGATCTGGGCAGAACAAATGCATTTGTGTTTCAGTACTATGAAATACTCCTATGGTAACCAATCAGCGCCAGAACAAATGCACATTTGGCTTTCCATATTCTGATACATATTCAGTTATGATTAAGTGGGATTTAAACTTCTCAGGGAAATGAAGAGAGAATATCAAAGAAACCAAATAAAAGTACATTAGAAATGTGTTTATTTAACTAGAAAAAAATACCCGTGCGTGGCAAAGGGGAAGATTATTTTATTCTTATTATTGTTATACGGTTTAGCTATAAGATAAAATTCACTGTAGTAATTTATTTGGATATATATTTTTTAAGAAAACCATGAGCTGCAATTAGGATTCCGACTTTTATCTCAAGTTAGTATTTTTTTAAAGAGATTTCTTATACGACTCATTTTGTTTTTCCAAAAGCAAATGAACATCAAATCCGACTCATACACAGATCTGTATTTCCAAAAGCGAGCGAACATAAAAACTGACTCAAACACAAATGAGGTACCAAAATACCGGAAAAACATCTTTAATTTTTATAATAGTAGAGATTTATTATTTTTTGAAAAAATACAACAGCAGAGGCTTCTACTGTGATGTATATAGAAGGGCAAAGAGTTTCTTTAAGTTTTATAGAAGAACATAGTATTTCAAGAAGAGACTAGGAAATTATGTAGAATATGCTAAGATTGCATATAGCTTAACATTATAATATTAACTTAACTAAAAATGGTCCCTACAAAGAAAAACATAACTAAAATGCTACTACAATTGTGAAACAAATACTGGAACGTAATAATAAACAACCTATTCTCTCTCTGGAAACGTATAGAAGCAGAGCAAATTTAGCACTCACAATGATCATGCAAATAGAGTACATATTGAATTAATTACTATTTTCCGTGCAACTATAAATTAAAACTTGCAAGGGTTGCAAACCAACTCTTGGTCGTCTAGTTTATTTAAGTCTTATTATGCTGTTGATCTTTTTTAGTTCACATAGAAATTTATACATAAATTCAAATCGCTACGTACGAGCAGGAAAATGTTCTTTGGGGGCCGTGAGATCCTCGCAAGAAAATACGAAATAAGACTGAGGTATACTCTATATGCACAACACAACTCAACACAGAAATTAATCAGATATACAGTGTTAAATTTGGCATTCATATTGACAGGGGCATTGATGCACCGGAGATAGGCATGCAGTATGGAAAGGAGTCGCAGGATGCACTGGTGAAACTGATCGCTAGGAAGTGTGTCACGCTTCATGTTTATGGGCAGGACCAATTTAAGCGCTTCGTCTGTGATATCCATTGTGGTGGTGTGTTCATCCAGGTGGACACAAAGCCATACACCATTGTGTCATTAGTCATTGATTTTAGTAGAACAATTTTGTTTGGATGGAAACGATGGTGAATGTGGTGTAATCTTTAATTTCAGGAGCAAATGCTGGTGAATGGTCATGCCTGGCACTTCAAGAACTATGACAAACGGCCACAATTTGCAAAGGTAAGAAACTATGGAGTATATTTCAGTATATTCTTTAATTGCGATATTCATATATATATTCTGTTATGTAAATATTCCGTTTTGAACTTTGAAAATGATAAATATTATTAGCAACATAAGACTAATAAATTGTTAGTCATACTTGCAGTATTGAAGTAAGGGATCATATTACCGCACACCGAATCAGCACGATTTCTGATTATGTTTAACATAGTATTTCTATTCAATTTATCATATATTCCTGTATAATTTTTGTGACATCCTGGCCCAATTAGGATGAGGCATGTGTTGTCCATGTGAGCTGTGTGCGCATATTTACTACCACATTGCTAGTTTAGCACGAGTGGAACCAACTTATAAGGCATCTTCCCTCTAACCATATTACTCTCGAGTTAACCCTTTTTACACAAAGCGATGACAAAAGTGTACCTGGGGTGGTATGTTTAAGTGGGCCCGCCCGTCGAATGGGCTGGCTAAATCGGTTCTGGATGGAGGGTTGTTACAAATGGTATCAGAGCCAACCCTCGCGGTTACGCGTACGGGTTAGTGTACGGGCATATGGCGCATGGTTGTTACAAATGGTATCAGAGCCGACCCTCGCGGTTACGCGTACGGGTTAGTGTGCGGACATATGGCGCATGTGGGCTCTATATGTGAGGCACATGGCATGGTATATGGCGCTAGCATTAGACGTACGGACGTGCCCTAAGAGTACCACATTGCTAGTTTAGCACGAGTGGAACCAATTTATAAGGCATCTTTCCTCTAACCATATCACTCCTGGGTTAACCTTTAGAGAGGGTTTTTTACAATTTTCTATTCAAATTCAATTTATGTTGAAATACAACAGTTTGGTGCATCACTGCAGGTTCTTTTCTTTCCATGTTGAATATTTGGAACATAAAAGAGCGTAGTTATCTTGTACTTGATACCATGCAAGATCCAGTTTTAAACAGTAGTTCTCCATATTGAACTTATCTTTTAGAAAAGAAATTTACCATACAGTTGAAATTCCAATCTCGTTTGAGAACTCTATAGACATACGGGTGTGTGTATTTGTGTGCATTTTCTGATGAAACTGCTTTGGTTACTTCTTCTCCCTCGGATTGTGAAGTGGGAAAAAATGGCACGGGATGCACGTCAAGGGCTTTGGGCATATGATAACCTTGAGAAGCCATGGGAATGGAGAAAGAACAAGAGGAAGGCATCGCGACATCACAATTCAGATGTACGTTGATGGACTCTGGTCACTTGGATGATGATCTTATCTGAAATGACATAATTTGGAATTGGATCTATGGTTACTAGACAGTTAGCCCCAGTTGAGTATGTATAAAAGTATGATGTACTTTGTATATAGTAAGATTATTAATCTCGATCTGTATTATTTATAAACTAATATTTGAGTGAAGAATGTGTAGATGAATTATGATATGATACCGCTTTTCAATTAAAGCGGTGAAAGGGTCTAGTACTTTTTAACTAGCTTGCCTTGTTTACGCAACATGTAGCTACATAAATACTACGGGTTAATTCGTTAGGATTGCAGCAAAACTCAACAAGGCCATAAGATTGGCACTTCTAAATTAGTAGTGGTTTCTATTTTGTAGCCAAAAAATTTGCATGCCAAATTATTTCTTTTAGCCCAATGTTGGAATGCAACTCTGGCAGTGAACAAAATGAAGCAATTGCCAGTTCTTGCCAAAAAAAAAACTTGTGGAGATGGACATCCCTGCTTTTTTTTTTGTATGGCAAGAGGTGTCCATTGCCAAAATGCAACCAAATGTCAATAAACCAAACAAGCCCAATAAGAACAACCAAATGGATATAGGATCCAAGAAATAACCACTACTATGGAACCGGTCAGCTGTAACGGCCGGAACTATCATCTATATCGCAAAAGTGTGTGGTCACTGATTATTAGTCAGTGATGTGAAACTCTCATCTGTGTCAGGGTAGATGTCATCACCGATGATAGATCTCTTTATCGGGCCCCAAATCCCACCCTTCACCGATCGGTTCTCTAGGCCGTCACAGATATGTCGTCGGTGACGGGCTCCACTTGCAACTCGACAAATGTGTTGTTGTTCCCTTTGTTGGATTCGTTTAGAGCCCATCATGGATGATCATCGGTGACTGGTTCCAATTGTGACCCGACAAAGGTGTTGCCGTCACCTTTGTCAGAATCTTTTAAAACCCGTCACAGATGATCATTGGTGATGGATGAGGTTTTTCACTCAAAAGATAAATTTATTTTATTGGCTTATCTCACTTCTAGTTTGTTTTTTCTTTTAAATTTTGTACTACCATGTAGAAAATAAACTAGCAAGCGGGTTTTTATGCGGGTAGTGAGACTACCCATTTGCATCCCACCCAATCGTTCTCTGGAAGTCTGAAAATGAACTCCAGCCAACACATTTGTTAGGAAGCATATGAGTGGAGAGAAGAGGGATAACAACGAATCTTGAAAAGAAATGAGCGAAAACACTAACACGAGGAGTAGAAGTAGCCAAAAAAAAAGTTGTTGATTTCTTTTGTACACTACTACATAAAAAGGGTTAGGTGTCGGTTGGGAACTCGCCATAGGTGTTGAATTTCTCAAATGGCACCTAGCAAGTGGCACTTTTGAGGTTCTAGGAATGAAAAAAGAATGCCGGCTCGAATCGAGTAGATGCATTAGGCAGCTCCCCTTCACTCCAACCAGATTACATAGAACATTTAATTCATATAATGAACATTTAATCCAAGAACATTAAGAATATAAGAGCATCCAAGAACACAAGAACGGACCGAACACTAAGAACACTAAGAGTACAAAGAACGGGCCAACATCGGGGAGGGCGCCACCCCTGACACCGCCAGGTGGTAGAGTGCCGCAGCTAGGTGGGGAGGGCCATCGCCATCGATGGGTGGGGAGAGGCACGCGACAGAGAGAGACCAAGAAAGAGAGGTCAAAGACCGGGGAAAGCGAACAAGTCCTCCTCACCTTATTCGTTCGAGAGAATAATTACGAACGGTCAGCTCGGTTTGGTTTTTACAGGTGTTGGTTTTTAAAAAACAAACACGTATAATAGATTATCGATGTTAGTTTTGTAATTAACAGGTGTTTAGAGAGAAAATTAAACTTTGTTCTCTCTGTCCAGGGAAGAAATAAAACATGTGCGAGTGTGCCGATGTACTAAGTACACAAATAAAATAGACAAAGAAAAATATATTTTATTATAATTCTTGTGGAACTACAAAATACAAAATCCTTAGTTATTTAGATATTCTCCACGGTCATAGGCAAGGTGTATCTGACTTTAAGTGATTGTGTTCTCCTGATTCCAGGGGTGTCATAAAACGCCTGGTTAATTACTCTCACAAGTTAAACTCATGAGAAGCCTCCAATTAAGTCGTGCTAGTCTCATCGTCATCGATCTTCGCTTCGCATTCTCCTGTATGTTGGAAATATAGTCATTAATCGGCATATTTTAATCCAAAATGTTAAAGCAATAATCATGGCATAAGCAGTGTAGGGCGATCTTAACATAACCAGTAGCATATTATGCGCATCATGAATGTCAGGAACAGGAACATGAACATAATAGTAACGCATAGAGGCATCATGAAGAACAGGAACAAGAACATAGCGCACATAGTATAGCGATAGCGCTAACAATGCGAACAGGAGCAGAAGATTATACCCCGAGAATGGCCCTCCGCTGGATGGTGAGGCAGAATTGCCTCCGTTGTTGTTGTCGTTCACGGCACCTCCTCCTGGCGCACCAGCTCCGGCTCCTGTTGGCGGCGCACCACCTCCGCCATCTCCTCCAGCAGCGGCGGCGACTCCAGACATCGCGATGAGCAGTCGTGCGGGAGGCACTCCCCAAAAACCTGATCACCCGCCTACCCGGTGCAGATCTCAGGCGAAGGTGTGGTTTCGGAGGCACTGCTCCTTCCAATCTCTCGTGCACGCAAGAGATCAGAAGCGAGGAAGCGAGAGCAACTCAGGCGGAGAAGGAGAAACTAACACCGGGAAAGAAGCGATGAAAACGGATCGCACTCGCGGCCTCCTTATCTATCAGGAGAAAGAACGTGGACGCGCTGTTGCGGAGGGAATCGTGGGAACGTGGGTTAGTGGCTGCAAAAGGATAGTGACGTGACGTGACGTGACGCACGCCGCCAGCCAGCCACGCCACGCCTCGCCCTCGCCCTCGGCCCGGCCCGGCCCGGCCTGGCCCGGCGCGCGCGCGCGCGCGTGTGGCAATCCGACCCCCACCTCAACTGGTCAACAAGGAGTCTCCAATAACTCCCTATTTAGGTTGAGATATTCCTCGCTTAAATCCTGAGGTGGTATTATTATCCTTAACACTTATTATGGGCCTTTGAGATTTAATAGGATAAGTTGGGCATAGCCCAATTATTCTAACAATCCCCACCAAATTTCAAGGCTCATAAGAAATGTTCTCAATGTTGTGCCTGTTTGATATACCAGGGTTTTGGTGGAGACTATTAAGTTGAACTTCCACCTAGGAAATGAGCTACATCAGACCACAACTGAACAATGGACTATGCCTTGAATTGTCAGTTTTGTGTGATCAGGTTTCACTCAGAACCTTGACTGGTACTGGGCTGCCGTTCGCATCCCCTCTGTTTGGAGCATATAAGTCAAACTCCAGGCCTTTCATGAGTATCTAGAGATCGCCCAAACCTCATAGACTGTGACTAGCAGTCGAACTCATATAGGTGTGTTCCTTCTAAGATGTTCTGCAGGTCAACATCTCTGCTTGGAAAAGCCACTCGGATCACATTAAGGCATGAGCCATCCTACCATGCAGGAAAGAAGAGAAGCACATCATGAAAATGAGCCCTTTTCAAGGGTCTCTTCTCTCAGTCACACAATAGTTTGTTTCGCCATCCAAATTCACGGGATCTCCGATCACAATGGGTATCAAGCCCATTTCCCTCGATGCACTGTCTATCACATTACGTGGTAGCCCCTTGGTAAACTGATCTGCCAGATTTCTAGCCGTTTGGACATAGTCCAATGCTATCACTCCGGAGTTTTTCTGTTTTCTGACAGACTTCAGTCTTCTTTTAACATGCCTGGATGACTTCATGTTGTCCTTCGAACTGTTCACTTTAATAATCACTGTTTGATTATCACAGTTCATCAGGATTGCTGGTACTGGTTTTTCAACCACCGGCAAGTCCATCAGGAACTCACGAAGCCATTCGGCCTCAACTGTCGCAGTATCTAGTGCTGTAAGTTCTGCTTCCATTGTTGACCTCGTTAAGATGGTCTGCTTGCAAGACTTCCAGGAAACAGCGCCACCTCCAAGTGTGAACACATATTCACTTGTGGCTTTTATCTCATCAGCATCAGATATCCAGTTTGAGTCACTATACCCTTCTAGTACTTTTGGATACCCGGTATAGTGAATTCCATAGCTCATAGTGCCCTTTAGATAGTGCATTACTCTTTCCAGAGCCTGCCAATGATCATCTCCCGGATTTGAGACAAACCGGCTCAGCTTGCTTACAGCAAATGAGATGTCAGTCCTCGTTGCGCTAGCCAAGTACATCAATGAACCAATGATTTGAGAGTATCTCAGTTGATCCCTTGCTATTCTTCGGTTTTTCCTTAATAGCACGCTGGGATCATAAGGAGTAGGAGCTGGCTTGCAGTCACTATATCCAAAGCGACTCAAAACCTTGTCCACATAGTGGGATTGCACAAGTGTAATCCCACCCTCATCTCCTCTTTGTAGTTTGATGTTAAGAATAACATCAGCCTCTCCCAAATCCTTCATTTCAAAACTCTTGGACAGATAGTCCTTGACCTCCTCAATCACATTAAGGCTGGTCCCAAAGATCAATATGTCATCGACATATAAGCACAAGATCACCCCTTCTCCCCCACCATAGCGATAGTATACACATTTGTCAGCTTCGTTCACAACAAAGCCTGCAGATGTAAGCGTGGTGTCAAACTTCTCATGCCATTGCTTAGGTGCTTGCTTGAGGCCATACAAGGATTTCAACAGTTTACACACCATTCCCTCCTGACCTTCTAGTACATACCCGTCTGGGTGATCCATATAGATCTCCTCCTCCAGCTCTCC